CTCTGCCTGCAGGATCGATGTCCCGAGCCCTTTCTGGTCCCAAACTATTTAACATTTACACAAAAACGGTTCTGTCCCTGGCCCGCTGTCTGTCACCCTGCTCGGAGTGTCCCCTGGTGTGATGGTGTTCGCAGGGGCCCCAGGATGAGGGAAGAGATGAGAATGTTGACTCCATGTTTCAGAGGTTTATTATTTATTTTATTTATTTTGATTTATATATTATACTAAAACTATACTAAAAGAATGGAAGAAAGGATTTCATCAGAAGGCTGGGTAAGAATAGAAAAAGAAATTGTAACAAAGGCTTGTGACTGAGACAGTCCAGACAGCCGGGCTGTGATTGGCCATTAATTACAAACAACCACAGGAGACCAATCCCAGATGCACCTGTTGCATTCCACAGCAGCAGATAATCAATGTTTGCATTTTGTTCCTGAGGCTTCTCAGCTTCTCAGGAGGAAAAATCCTAAAGAAAGAATTTTTCAGAAAATATCTTGGCTACACCCTGGAGCTGGGGGTGTCCCCTGCCCAGCCTGGGGCTGGCAGAGCTGTCACTGCTGAGCTGCTCTGGGTTTGTCCCCAGCCCCATCCCGGTGCCTGGAGGAGTCACTTTGCCGTGCAGAAAGCTCTCAGCTGTGTCCCCTCTCTGGTAGAAACCTCTGCTTTTCACTCCTTTGGGCTGAGCTTTTTGGTCAGGGCTCGTTTTGTAAAAATAGTGATGGAGAGGGGAATTTTTACCCCCCTTTTTGCTCATTTTGGTGATAACATGGAACCTGCAAGCCTTGACCCCACAGCCCCCATCGTTTGCACCTGTGGCTGATCTGGGGTTTTGGGCTCTCCCAGCTCAGGCAGGACCTGTGTCCATGTGGAAATTCCTCCTTGGCAGAGCCCGTGCTGCTCTCCTGCTTTGGGCTGGGATAGAGTTAATTTAACTGCTGGAGCTGCCCTGGGTGATAACTCAGGGATGCTTTGGGCTGGAGACTCGTTTATCTCCTGAGAGTGCATCCCCGTCGGTGCTGGGAGGAGTTCTGCTCCAAAAACCATCAGGAATCGTGAAGCAATTAACTCTGGAAAGTTCTGTCGGCCCGGTTTTTGAAGTCTGCTTTGATTCCCTGCCTGCTGTGGCTGTTAATCACTATTTAATGCAGCTCTCTGCATTTTTATCATCATTTTATCTGCTGTAATTTATTGTGTGTTACCTTAACCGAGGAAGCATTTTCATGTGTTGAATGTCTCCGTGCAGAAAACCCCTGCTCCGATGCCTCTCAAGTGCCAGTTTTATTAATTAAAAACAAACATTTATCACTTAACAGAGAGGCAAAAGGGGTTTTATCCCTCCCCCTGGGCACACACACTCTGGAAATCCCAGCCCTTCCAAGGCTCCCCATTGCCGTGTCCTGTACCTGCAGGCACTGCTTGGCATTCCCAGGGTGCTTTCTGAGGGTCAGGAAGAATTAACTGTAAATTTAATTAACGTTCCTAATGTTTGGGTTAAAGTGGAGCCCAGCAAAGACGGCTCTGCTCTTTGCCGGTTTGAGCCAGAGCTGGGTGTTATCAATAATTAACTGTGCTCATTTAGGGGAAGTATTGGGGCGTTAATGAAACTGTGAAATGTTTAATTATTGTGCCAGGAGCTGGGGCTGCTGAGGAAGAGGAGGAGTGGCACAATTAATGGCTGTTCCCGAGGGGATCCCGGGATGTCCCCGGGATGGGGAAATTCAGGGATGGAGGTCCCCGCACCCATCAGAGCCACAGGAGCCGCTGGGAGACCCCTCCCAACCCTGGTTTTCATTAAAACTTCTGTTAATTACCTGGTAATTAAGCTGTGGGTGGTGTGGATGGCCCTGTGCAGGACAGGGAGGGATAAGAGGGGTTAGGAAGGGATAGGAGGGGTTTTCCAGAGGGGCTGTGCCTGCCCCATCCCTGTGCCTGCCCCATCCCTGTGCCTGCCCCATCCCTGTGCCTGCCCCATCCCTGCAAGGGTCCAGGGCCAGGCTGAGGTTTTGTGGGGCCTCTCCAGGTCCCCATCCCGGGTTTGCCGTGGGTAATAAACAATTTATTGCCCACTGAGGAGCGGGGCTGGGTCAGACTCTCAGCCCAGGTTTGCTGTGAGGACTGGGTTGGGTGAGGATGAGGATGGAGCCGTTCAGAAATCCCAAGGAAACACAGAATGGATGCCCCAGGAAGGTGCCAGGAGATGCTGGTGGAGCAGCCTGGAAAGCCCTGCGGCATTTCCTGAATGGAATTAAAGTTCAGGATGCTTGGCTGGCCGGGAAGCCCCTCAGGAGGGTGGTGGAGCTGTGCTGTGCTCCCAATAAATCCCAAACCCCATCCCTTGGGTTTTTCTGGGCTCTGGGACAGGGATGGGTCAAAACCCTGCTGGGAAGGTGATTCCCAGCAGGAGCTGTGTGAGTCAGCCTCTGGTGAGTGCAATTATTTGGGGAAAAACGCTGGAAATTATGGGAAAAGCAGCTGTGGCTGCCGTGGGATCCATGGATCCTGAAGGGCACCCCACTGGTGCCAAACAGGGGCTGTGCTGCCAGGTGAGGGCACCAGGGCAGGGAAATGCCTCTAAAAACGCTGGCACTGTGCAAAAATTAAAATAAAAGTAGTGGAGAGAGGGAAAGCCACAAATGGCTTCTGCTCTTGCTTGGGGGAGGGATCTGCGTCGCTCACAAATGCTTTTAATAAAATGTTCTTTCCTGAGTCCAGGGGAAAAATCCCGGAAACCTCAAGCTTTCCCCATGACATAAGGAGCAGATGCTGCAGGGCACAGCCCTGTCCCTGTCCCCAGCTCCCTGCCAGGCACAGCCCCAGCGCTGGGATGCAATTCCCAGAGAATCCCCGGCTCTCCCTGGCAGTGCCAGGGCCAGGACAGGGCTGGGGGCACCGGGGGACAGTGGAAAGGGTCCCTGCCCTGGCAGGGGTGGCATCTGTGAGCTCCCTTCCTGTTGGGGGAGATGAAACAGGAAAGCCTTATAAACATGACTGCCTGGCAAAAGATTTTGAGAATATGGAAACTATAAGTGAGATTGAAATGAAAGCAAGCTTTGAGATCCTCAGTTACTGAACAACTGGAAAGCAATGGCGTGGCCAGCTGAAGGTGATCCCCTTTTGATGGAACAACACCCTCTGCTTGCAGACAGGCCCAAGGGTCAGAGCAGACCCTACAGCTTGGCCGAAGGGGCCCAAAGAGGAGTTTTTAGGGTTTAAAATGTAACACAGTATGGTAATGTAATGATTCTTATAGGTTGTATGGAAATGCTATAGGATTTGTATCTTGTACTAGATTGGTTAGTGAGAATGAGAATATTCAGCACAGAAGATTTATTGTATTGGAACGGGAACTTCACTTTCTTACCTCTTGCCTCTTAGCTGTTACTTTTCTATGCTCTTACCCCTTTTACTCTCTCACCCTCTCATCTTCTCTCCCCCTCTTTTCTCTGGGGCCTGCTCTGAGCTGTGGCTGCAGCTCCCACCAGGGCCCTGCACCCAGGCCCTTTGCAATAAACCCCAAATCCCAGCAGGGCCCTGCATCCAAGCCCTTTGCAATAAACACCAAATTCCATGACCAGAAGAAGATTTATTGTATTGTAATGGGAACCTCAGTCTCCCCTCCTCTTTACCACTCTCTTTACCTCTCTTTCTCTCTCTCGGGCCTGCTCTGAGCTGTGGCAGCTCCCAGCAAGGCCCTGCACCCAGGCCCTTTGCCATAAACCCCAAATTCCACCACCTGGCTGCAGAGACCTCTCGTGTCCGTCCATCCCCACCGTCCTACCCCCGATATTCCTACACCTTCCCAAACATTCCGGGATTTTGTGGGGGGCACCGAGGCAGGTGCCTGTGCTGGTGGCAGGGAGGACCCGCTCTGTCACACGGGGTGACACGGCTGGGTAATTTCTGCGGCAATTAATGCCTCATTAAAGTGCACGAGGGAACAATCAGAGCAGTGAATTTTACCCAGCACAATGGCTGGGCCCTCAGGGCTTTTTTCTGCCTTTCTTTTGAAAAGGAAACAGTCTTTTTCTGGCTTTAACTGCTCCCTGTCTGGAGGCAGAGGAGGAGGAGGGAGCCTTGGTGGGCACCTCCGTTCCCAGCTGGTGCTTGGGCATCACCTCCGTGATGGGATTTCCCGGGATTTTCCTCTGCAATCCCACGGGGACATGAAATGTGACTGGAGGCAGGGATGAACAGCAGCCCTGTGCCAAAATGTTCGTGTTGGGATGGAGCTGGGAGCAGGCAGGAGGGATTTGCAGGGCTGGGAAGGGATTCCAGGGGGAAGCAGCCGCCTGCAGGTACCCTGTGGATGCTGCTGGTGGGACAGGGTGACAGGGAGCTCTTTCCTAGGGACACTGGAGGGGACAAAGGGAATGCTGAGTTGGGCAGAGAGCCTGGAGCTCAGGAACTCCTAGGAAGGGTTTTGAAGATGAGAAATCACCAGAGGAGTGTGACAAGGTGGAGCAGGATGGAAGGGGAGATTTGGCTGTGGCTGGGTGTGGATGTTTGCAGGCAGCCTCTTCCTCTTCGTCTGGAAGAGACGAGAATCCGACTCCATGTTTCAGAAGGCTGGTTTTTTATTTTATGATACATATATAATATTTAAAAGTTAATGATATATTAAAACTATACCAAAAGAATAGAAAAAAAGGATTTAATCAGAAAGCTTGCAAGGAAAAGAATAGGAATGGAATCATAACAAAGGTTTGTGTTTGACTGAGAGTCTGAGATAGCTGGGCTGTGATTGGCCATTAATTAGAAACAACCACATGAGACCAATCACAGATGCACCTGTTGCATTCCACAGCAGCAGATAATCATTGTTTGCATTTCGTTTCTGAGGCTTCTCAGCTTCACAGGAGAAAAGATCCTGGCAAAGGGATTTTTCAGAAAATATCATGGCTACAGCTGGGAAGCCCCTGAGCATTTCTGGGTTTTGGGGTTTGTTCCCACCCATTGTCCCATCAGGCAGCTGAGCCCTGACCGTGTCTGTCTGTCCTCAGGAGCCTGATGCCACGGACCCTGGATGGACAGATCACCATGGAGAAGACCCCCAGCTACTTTGTGACCAAGGAGGCGCCGCGGCGCATCCACAACATGTCCCGGGACACCAAGCTGATCGTGGTGGTGCGCGACCCCGTCACCCGCGCCATCTCGGACTACACGCAGACCCTGTCCAAAAACCCCTCCATCCCCAGCTTCCAGGCCCTGGCCTTCAAAAACCTCAGCACGGGACTGATCGACACCAGCTGGAGCGCGGTGCGGATCGGCATCTACGCCAAGCACCTGGAGAACTGGCTGCAGTTCTTCCCCCTCTCCAGGTTCCTGTTCGTCAGCGGGGAGAGGCTGGTCAGCGACCCCGCCGGGGAGATGGGCCGTGTCCAGGACTTCCTGGGGCTCCAGAGGCTGGTGACAGACAGACATTTCTACTTTAACGAGACCAAGGGCTTTCCCTGCCTGAAGAAGCCCGAGGGGGGGAGCAGACCCCGGTGTCTGGGCAAGTCCAAGGGGCGGCCGCACCCCACCATCGACGGGCAGGTGGTGCAGCGCCTGCGCGAGTTCTACAGACCCTTCAACATGAAGTTCTACCAGATGACAGGGCAGGATTTTGGGTGGGACTGAGCCCATCCCCAGGGCACGCTGCCGGGCTGGCACCTGGGCTGCCAGGACTGCGGTCCAGGGATGTCTGTGGTCATCATTGTCCAGGGATGTCCATGGTCATCGTGGTCAAGGGATATCTGTGGTCATCACTGTCCAGGGATGCCTGTGGTCATCATGATCCAGGGATGTCTGTGGTCATTGTCCAGGGAAGCCTGGGGTCATCATGATCCAGGGATGCCCATGGTCACTGTGGTCCAAGGATGCCTGTGGTCACTGTAATCAAGGGATGCCCATGGTCATCATGGTCCAAGGATGTCCATGGTCACCGTGGCCCGGGGATGCCCATGGTCACTGTGGTCAAGGGATGCCCATGGTCATGGTCCAGGGATGCCTGTGGTCATCATGGTCCAGAGATGCCCGTGGTCATCATTGTCCAGGGATTCCCATGGTCACTGTGGTCAAGGGATGCCCATGGTCACCCCACCAGCACCCTCCTCCCTTTGTTCTAATTTATATGGGACCTTTTCTGGCAAGAAACGGACTTTTCTGGAGTAGAGAGAAATATTTAATAAAACCTCAGATGAGCCCTCTCCCCTCCCTGAGCAGATTAAATATTCTTCCATATAAACCTTGCTGATCTCCATTAACTGGGAGTGTTCTGGGTGGGACTGTGGGTTTGTGTGCATGGGGATCATGGATCCATCCAGAATGAAACCTTGGAAACCTCTGGGCCACACAGCTGAGGGTTCTGGGGGTGACACAGGCCCTGGCGGCCAGGGGAGGGCTGGGCAGCAAACCCCAACCCTGGGAGATGTTTTGGAGATGGAAAAGAGTCTGCAGGAATTTCCCAGCTGAGCAAAACAATGAACAGCAGCAGTTCTGAATAAATGCCAGGTCCTGGTTTAGGAAGAGGGAGCTGTGGATCACCTCCCCATGTTCCTGGAGTGGCCCACTGATTGGGCAGGGCCTTTCCAACCCTTAGCAGGAAAATTCCAGCTTCTCCACAATTTACCCAGCTCTGCTCTTTCAGTTCAATAATCTCAACAGTTTTTCAAACCTGCAGCCATCGAGGGTCATCACGGGAGGCTGCAGAAATTACTTTAATCTCTACTAACTAGTTTTCCCTTAATTAAAGATGGGGAAAACATTTAATTAACCTCTATGATCTTATTAGTAACTTGTATTTGTCTGTTTAATGAGCTAATTATGAGTTTTGGAGGGCCCTCAGGCCCTGCATTATTTGCAGATCAGCTTTGGCTGTGGTTCCTTCCATGATGCAGCATCCCAAGGCTGCTGAGGTGCCTCCTCTCCTCTCTGCTGCTGCCTGGGCAGGAGGAGGGAGCAGGTCCCACTTCTGGCATGTACAAGGAGCCTCATCCCTTCTCCTCCCTGCTCCAAGGTGGTTTCACACCCTCACCTGCAGTTTCATCCCACACAGCTCTCCCTGTCCCGGGTCCTGGCACCTCCCTCGTGTCCCTGGGGCTGAGCTTTGTGTCCTGTCCCATGCTCCGGGTGCAGGTGAGGTTGGGCACGTTCCTGTTCATTCCCAGGACAAGTGACACCTGCTGAAAGTGATGCTGGAGAGAAAAGCAAACCAGTTTCTGTGCGGACTGGGCCATCGAGGAGGTGACAGTCCCCAGGGCTTTGTCACTGGGGTAAAACAGGATACTGCCATGGCACAGTGAGAGGAGATGGTTGAAATCCCAAAGTCCTGGAGTGATGCAACTGTTCTGGGATGGGCTCAGCACCCCTGCCCTGGCTGTGACACCCCCAGCCTGTGACCCCAGGCTGTGTCACAGCCACCAATGTCCCCCCCAGGCTGTGTCCCCCGGCTGTGTCCTCCCTGTTTGTGACCCCAGGCCATCAATGTCCCCCCCAGGCTGTGTCCCCCGGCT